GATTAGAGATGTAAACGCGGATTATATGATAATTAATTATAAATTTATCATATAGGTACTCCATGTAAGCGGTCAAATCGATATTATGCGACAAGATTTGGTTGAATTTTCCAGCAGCAAATCCGATCCAACTAAATTTTTTATGATTATTAAAGGTCTCATTCACAAGCATCAGAGGATCATCATTTTATCGGAGAATATTGAAAATCTGTTTTCGTTGATCGCGTTGATGCAAATTCTCTTGAATACCATAGTTATCTGTTGCACCGGTTTTGTGATCATAATTGTGAGTAATTTTCGGTGAGTTTCTTTATAGTTCAGATAATGAATACTACTCTCTTCTTTGGTTACAGACCATCGATAACGACGTAGGTGTAGCGGGTTTGATTAAATCTGTGAGTTATTATCTCATGATAACACTGGAGGCTTTCGTTTTCTGCTTCACTGGAGAATTTTTGAGTACTAAGGTATGTAAACGACTTCTCAATATCTAGAGAGCGTCTAACATAATTATTTCTTCATCGCAAGTGTAAGTAAGTATATTCATTTTCTAAGATATTATTTAAACACCAAGAAAAGGAGGTAGTAGTAAAACATGATTTTTTATTCTAACAAAAAATAAAATAAAATAAAGATAGTCTATTATTCAAGATGTTCCCTGTAAATAATTTCGACCGCACTATGCGTATTTTATGTTCAAGAAAGAAATTTTGTTTACGATAAGAAATGTGGCCGAATTTGTCCTACCCGAATATTAAAATACGAGGGGCAAATTCTAAACAGAGAAAAAGATTTCTTTGAATTTAATAAAATTTCTTTCATTGAAACAAATTTATTTTTTAGAATAAAACAAAGTAATGTTTGATTCAATAAACAGGATTGTTTGCTTTCTCAAACAATAAATATCTTTACGTCAAATAACATATTTTTTTTGTATTTTCATCCATATTTGAACCTCAACTTCATCCTGTTTCCAGAGCAAATCGATTGGCGATGCACTGTATGAGTTACTGTGGTACAATATGTCGCCGAGCGACAGTCGGATTTTATTATTTATGATATTAAGATCTCAAAAGCGGCTGACGATCACCGCGGGAAAAGTCATTGACTTGACTTTGGAGGGCTTTACAAGTGTAAGGCATT